TTTTTTGCTATTGATTATTTTGCATAACAAACTTTTACCCCTTTTACCTGCAACTCTCGCAGGTCATCCTACTCTGATTCTTCATTGTACGCTTCAAGATCGGATACCCACGACAGTACAACATATTAAGTCCAAAAATAAGAAGCGAAAGCCTCCAGTGGGTGACCTTTGGTGAAAGCATGTGGGCAAGAATGTGAGGGTTTATCGAGGTTCATCCATAGGGGATCCATTTGCTTGATATTGATGAGATTGTCTGGCCTTTCAATTTTGCCATCAATGGCAACCGCCGGGCATTTTTCGGTCGGTGAGCCACAGTGTGACCAGCTTGTAATTATCATAGCATTACCCTGTCCCAGCGTAGTCAAAACTTGCCTTCTATGGTCAGACTTCTTCAAAGTTTCCTCCGCAGCCGGCCTAATTTTGATTTGCGTCCCAACAATGATACGTACTGTGAACGTGCATAAACTGATGTTCAATGTCTCCAGGTTTGATTTAGATTTTCATGATCGTGGGATCCAACTACTCTGCACCATAGAAAAACTCAACGACTTCGCCGACCGCATTCCGAACTGTACCAGATCTTCCAGACTTTTGACCAACCGTAGCTGGAGGTAACCCCTTTTCAGCCGTCTTGACTGCCATATTGACAAGATCCTCTCAACCGACCACTTGATTAAACTTGATTGAAGTGAAGCTCGAATATAAGCTGTTCTGGATGAAGACTCGAGCCGCTGGAATTTTTGCTGGGAATCAGATGACTGAGTTTTACTAGATTACAGATTACTTTCAGGTTTTTTCGAATGATCCTCGAAACCGGTTTGTCGTTCTTAAATTTTCATTGAATCGTTGTTCTACCAGTTTTATGTATGGCACAACATTCTCTCACTGGTCACACATTTGAGTAAACAAAGTCTTCAATCGAGTAGTCCACTTTAGCAACGATTGGCTGAACGTCAACACTCAACAGTGATGGCCTTTTTTTATTATATTATTTATGGCCTACTTGTCAATTATGTGTCCCATCGTGCCAAACATGTCCTAAGAACTTTTTCAATTATGTAAAAACGAAATTGAAAAGTAATAATTTTCCATCACGAATGCATTTTGATGGAAATGTAGGTGAAAATCCATCTGAAATCAGCAATATCTTTGCAAATTTATTTCAGGAAGTATATACCACATTTTTCTGAAAAAGACCGCGACTTTTTTGCATTAATTCCCGAAGTCTCTAACAACTTATTTGTCAATCAAATATGTCAACATGAAGTCCTCGATGCACTAAAAAATTTAGACGGATCTTACGGACCAGGACCTGACGGAATTGCACCTGTATTCTTGAAGAATCTTTCAGAACAACTCACCCTTCCTTTAGAATGCCTTTTCAATATGTCTCTGAAAAATGGGAAATTCCCTGAAATTTATAAAACCGTCTCGATTGACCACTTTTCTCGATTGACGATTGGATCGAGCAAGTCAAGGGTGTTCTTGAACGAGAACTTCCGGATGAAGGACTTAAGCGAATCTAAGAGCTGCTTGGACATACACATCAGCCGGACTGAGGATACCGTTGCGTTAGATCAAGAAGCTTACGTTGAAGCGATGCTGACTAAATTCAACATGTCTAACTGCAAATCAACGAAGACACCGATGACCGACCAGCTTAACAATGAAATGTCACCAAAAATCTCGGACAAGACGAACCAGATGGCCACCATTCCGTATCAGGAAGCAATCGGCAGCTCAATGTACCCGACCGGATATTATTTTCACTGTGAACCAGCTCAGCCGTTACAATTCAAATCCAGGAATGCAACATTGGGAGTGCTGTCAAGCATTTGTTCCGTTACCTCTGTGGAACTTCGAGAATGAAACTGGTGTACAAGAAGGATGCAAACGTAGAAGTTATTGAATACAGTGACGCGGACTGGGCAGCTGATCCGGACGACAGGAAATCAACAAGTGGTTACATATTCAAGCTACGGGGTGCAGCGATTTTCTGATGCTGTAAGCGGCAGCCTACGATCGCTTTATCTACGTGTGCAGCTGAGTATATGGGCCCTATGGCCCATCTGCAGCAGTTCAAGAAGTAACATGGTGGAAAGGATTGATGTCGAGGTTCGATCAAGATACTTTGTGATAATCAAAGCACAATTGCCGTTGCTAAAGCTGGAGGTTATAATCCCAGGACAAGGCATATCGATATTAGGCATCACTATATTCGAGGTGCACTGAAGAAAGAAGTGGTCAACTTAGATAATACACACAAAAGCAACAGATAAACAGATTACAAAAATAATCACAATCTTCTCAATCGGTTTCGAAATTGGTTCGACGTTTCTCCGAATTCAAATGCTTCTTCCATCGTAGACATTGGCTCATGGTATCCATATGCAGTCCGATTGAATTTTGGTTGTAGTAAGGATGATTGCCGCAACATCCTTTGAGGAACACGGAAGTTCAATTGTGAAAGCAGTTGAGGCCAGTCCAAATCGCAATTTAAAAGTTTCGCTACAAATAAGGCTTGTTGCATTTTTCTTCTGTGTTCCAATGTGTCCAGGTCCAATAGCATGCATCGGTCTGCATAGGGTGGTAAATTCATTGGATCGCGCCACGGCAGGCTGCGCAAAGCCAACCTCAAAAATCTTTTCTGAACACATTCTATTCGGAGATTCCACACTAGCTCATATGGAGACCAGACCACATATGCATTCTCAAGTATGGGCCGAACTAAAGAGCAATATAGTGCCTTCAAGCAGTGAGGGTCTTTAAAATCACGTGCAATCTTCGAAATAAATCCCAGTTGACGATTCGCCTTAGAGATGATCGAGGAATAGTGAAGATTGAAGGTCAACTTTGGGTCCAAAAGAACACCAATATCAGTCATACGTTCTACTCTGCGAAGCGTTACATTGTCAGTGCAGTAGTCGTAAAGGATTGAACTCTTAAAGCGGTGAAACGTCATCACTGCACACTTTGGAACGCTGATGATGAGCTTATTGCGACGGCACCAATCCACAAACAAATCTAGCAGAGCTTGAAGACGATGACAATCCTCAATCGAGTGAATTATGACGAATAGCTCTATGACGAATCTGCATAAACGAGCTTGCATTTAACTCCCAACAAAGCTGCTACATCGTTGAAGAATAACGTAAACAAAAGTGGACCCAGGTTACTTCCCTGAGGTACTCCAGAGATGCTGATAAACGTAGAAGAGACACAAGATCCTAGTCGTACTCGAAGAGTTCGTCCAGTCAAGTAGGAATGTAACCACGACCTAAGTTGCTCAGACGCTCCTAGTCGGGAGAGCTTGCATAACAAAACCTTCAGGTCGATTTTGTCGAATGCGGCTTTCAGATCAGTATATATGACGTCGACTTGTGCCTTATCCTCCATCGCGGTGATGCATGTACTGGGGAAATCCAAAAGGTTAGTAGCTACCGATCTACCGGGAATAAATCCATGCTGGTCAGTTGAAATGCAGTTCTTCGAGCGATTAAGGACAAATTCGCTCAAGATGATCTCAAACAGTTTGGACGCTGCCGAAAGACTGGTGATACCTCGATAGTTCTTAATAGCCCGTTTATTGTCAGCTTTGAAAACAGCAAACATATACGACTGCTTCCACAATGTTGGGAATTTCCCTTGCTCAAAGGATGCATTAAATATGGCTGCTAAAGGTTCTGCTAAGGCAACTGAGCGTCCCCCTAAGGAGCAGTATTAGAATAGTAAGCCATGCTGATTTTCTTAAGGTGGAAAAACTGTCCCATGTTCTCCTATTTTTATATTTTTAAAGTTATCTTTAAAATATAAATATGCCAACTTTTCTGAAACATTCAAGATGGACATTTTAAAATTGTAGATCAACTTTAACTAATCTTTTTGTTCTGCAAACTGTTGAATTCCAGCACATAGCGAACAATTGCGCCTACGTAAAGTTTCATGGAAATCCTAGAAACTAGGGTCTTAAATTATTTTTCTATTTCACTATTTAGCCTATCTTTGCTCTACTTCCTTGGCTGCGGAACCGATACCCACGCGACTTGAAGGAATTCGTGAATTCGATTAATGCCGAGGTAAGTGGCAGTAAGTAGTTTAGTTTATTAGGGTTACCACTTGTAATAGGAGACTTCCGTTGCGTCATCAATCAATTGGTCGAGGCCCGAGGTTTAAAAAAAAATGGCATAATCCATCAGTCTGAATAAGTTGAATTATGTTTAGAAATAAACGATTAGGAAAACGGTTACTACCGGTCATTTAGTAGCAGCAGCAGTATCATCATCGTCAGTCCAACCATATTCAAATGGTTTCACTTTCAACTCAACAACTCCGATCAATCGCTTTCGTCCGCTTTATGGCTAGTCCGTCCGGCTCATCCAGTACGTCATCTTTTTCATGTGGTTTCGCACATTTATCTTGCCGTTTGTTTTCATTCGTGTTTTCCTTCTGCGGTGCCCCGGGTAGGAACTACTCATTCGCTTCCCACGGGGCATTTTATTACTGTAAGCATCCAGCATTGGTAGGTATGTATGAACTTGCCCGGCAGCGGCAACTTCAGAGTTGGTTGGGCCAATTGAGAAACGTGGCTCTTGTCCCCCCTGATGGCGATTGGCTTGGCATCACATCATCAGCTGATACATGTCAGTCATTGACCGGGGTTAGTTTTTCCATGTCGTCACGCCGACAAGTACAAAATAAAGAGAAAGCTGTTTATTGGTATGGTAGTCCGTACGACCCGGTCTGTCACGTTGTATGCATTCTGTATTTGGCCTTCCTGATGTGGTGTTTCTGAAGGAATGTTAAACGCCCGCAACAGGTTCCCACTCGATACGCTTCAAGGTCATTACGCCGATCACTGTACGATCTCTATCGCTTAATAGCAGACTATCTCTATATAATGCCACATGTTCCCATCACAATAAAGGCACATGCTTTGCCTCTACGCACATCATTCCAATGCTATCTACTTGAACGGAGTAATCCATTCCCATTCAACTTACCTTCCCCAAAGGCCATGAAGTGATTGGCTGTCTCGACGGTATCCATGTCTGCTGCGCTGTGAGTTCCTACGGCTTCCTAATCAGCACAGGAAAAAAATCGCAACCAGAATGAGTTCTGGACTTGCACCGACTTAAACTAAACCACGATGAACTCTAGTGCCTTCCTACAGTAATAGATAAAGACCGCCCGGATTGCCGCAGTTTTATTCGCAGAGATCACGCGGACGAACGACTAATGATGATGACAAACGACAGCGGTGACGACGAGAACGACGACGCACTTCGCGCACAATCCGCACGCTGTCCCCCCAGCAAGAGCGCGTATAAAATGGGATGATATCTATAGCCTTCTTTGTTCCTCGCGGGCTTTATCTATCTGGCCCCTCTCGCTCTGCTGCTGTATCGTACGATATTTTGTTATTCTTCTCCGATCAGCACCAGTCGCGTTCCTCACAACACCACACTCCTCTTCCTGCTGGCTTCCACTTCCTATAGGCAACAACTTTATTGATTCTTCTCTTTGTTTCTCTACTAGTTATGTGGAGGGGGTCGATCCTCGGAGGGAGACTACTGCCGTTGTTTTGCAAAATCAAAGAAGTATCTACACGTATCTCTCAATTGCACTGCGAACAAATTCCTCACCACCGCTATTCGAAATCGGATTGTTTGTTATCTAATCCTCGAACTGAGCAGTGTCCTTCACACAACTCAACGACGACTTTATGATGTATTATCGTCTCCACAGGTGCTAAATCAATCCTCAAAAGCGAGCCTTCGGTTGGCGGTCGTCGGTCGGTTTTAAAACTAAAAACTTGCTCCAGCACTACTGACTTCACTAGTCATAGCAAACGCCCCACAAGCACTACGTTGAGGTATTGGAAAGCAAAAAAAACGAGATGTTGTAATGGCACATATGGGCGCAGGTATGTTATACGACTGAGTGCTAACGGGGGCTGTGTCCACTAAATCCACTATCCACCATCAGAATAATTGCGACTGACTGCGGTCGATAGGCTACTCCCAGTGGATGCACGGAACTGCAGCTATGCAAATTGTAGCCAGATACGAGAGACGAACAGAAACACTAACGGATTAAGACGGATTGTTACGACCGCGATTGCAGCGGATGACCGACCCGACGAGACCGATGTAGAAAAATCAACTGCGCTGCAACGAGAAACGTTCCGAATACTGCCGTCTGCCAAACGCGAACAAAGAATTGGGAAAGCAAAAGAGAAACAGCGATGACAGCAGATTCTGTCAGTCGGGGACGCATACAGTGCCGTATTCACATGGCTAATTAAAACTGATCTAGATATTTGTCGAGCTACTCGTATAATTATTTCTCAAGGGATTTCTACCAGCGTTAACGTTAATATTAATTAACCACTTCATTCGAGCAGATAAAATGACGTTTACTACCACTCGAACTTTGAAATGAAACATTATTTTGAGATTTTTTTCTTCTAGAACCTCGAGAAAAGTAGCCATCATTTGTGCGTTTCATAAAAAATAGAAATTAGTTGGTTCAGTGTTGTGGAATCGCTGGTAGAAAGTAACGCCAAAACTGCTTGACAAAGTGGTCAATTACCGATCAGTGCCAGTTAGATTACCAAAAAATACTATGATTATTTTTAAATTAATTAAAATAGCTTTGTTACTTTAAACATTTTATTTTTAACACTATCGATTACCGAAATTACTACGATTACTTGAATAATTTTAGGAATTACTCAATTCAGTGCCAACATTTCAAAGGGGCGTAATTGCTTTTGTAAACAATGACTTTAGCCATCAATTTCTCGCGAATGAAATCTTACCTCTTCAAAATAACAATGCTAGCTGGTAGAGGAAACATTCCTCTACCTGCTGGTGTCATTATTTTTCATGAGTAAGCTTTTATTCGCGAGAAACCGATGGCTAAAGCCATTGTTTACAAATGCAATTACGCCCCTTTGAAATGTTGGCACTGAATTATTGAATAATTAACCATGTTTCCAACGATGGAATTGTTAGAGAAATACGACAACATCCATTAATTTATTTATTTATTTATGACTAAACATCAGCAGGCTTCATTGGCCCCAATGATGTAGCCTAAACTAAACATGAAAAGAACTAAAATAAACATCAATAAGTCAATAGTCATCTCGTAAAAAAGGAACATTGCTAGACAAACCAAACTGATCTAGAAAAAACGAACTAAACCTCCGAAGAAGCAGCTGGCGAGTCAGGTCAAAGTCAAATAGTGCGGAGACCCTATTGAAGAGTCTCTGTACACCACCGATTGCATTGAACAGACTATAATTAGTTCGCTGTATGGGCAGGTGCAGCATTGAAGTATTCCGTAGGGCTCGGGGTTGAACATTGATGTCAACTTGCTCCCCTAATAAAAATTGTATGGTTAATTTGCTTAACGATGTGTTCTGGGTATCATCCAAACCATTTGTCGAATAGTTCAATGATTTGGGTTATCGTTCGTTTATGGTTATTTTTTATTAGGGTCATGGAGAACATAAATTGTTACTGTAAATACTGTATTTCAATATAACGAGACTCGTCTGTTCCTTTTGTTTTGATTTGGATTTAGACATTTACGCCTGCGGGCATCATACTCATGCTTGTATGAAATTGGTTCCAAATATATACATCATGTAGGTTTCTTATGGCTTGTTTACGTTTGAAACCAGTTATACCTAAGATGAAGAGGAGACAATAGAGGCCTTTTTGAACCAATTTTCTGACAATGGTGAACCAACAACAACCACCATGGTGAACGTAAATTCCACACATTTTTATTGATGAATTTCCATGTGAAATTCCACATGATTTTCATGTGACCACACATAAACAGAATCCACCTAGAAGCACACATGAAATTTATGAGTTAAATTAATAGTAGGGAAAATGGCTCTAATGTTTGCCTATGGATCTAATAGCGAATTCGTTTATTATTCAGTTCCAACCTGGATCGGGTATCAAGATTGGGTCTGCTTGTTTTCTAGCAAACGTCAGTTTGATCGTTTGTTTTTAAAACCTGGCACGGGTCGAGGTTCGCACTGACAAAAAGTTCGGGTTCGCACGGGTTGGAACTGGTTCCAACCCCGATAATAAACGAATTCGCTATAAGATTGGACCCATCGCTAAAAATCTGCTGTTTATCATTTTTATCTAGATGAACGCGTCATTGGGACGGTACTAATGGATATTTTTGATCGCTATTGAAAATTTAGTCGATAGCTGAATTTATGTATGTACACTTAATCTATCTCGGTAAAATCTCCAACAGCCGATTACCTCGCCATTTAATTTTGCTGATATCTCTGCAAAACATCTGTTTGTTAGCTGATATTTCTGCAAATAGTTATTTGTTAGCTGAGTCTCGGCAATTGTTTTACTGAATCTCAGCAAAATAAATTGCAGAACTACTCGGCTGTGGGAATCTCGGCAAAAAAATTTAAGTGTTTGAGCCCAAATTAGGGGCATTTAGGCTATAGTCGCTATATTCATAGTCTGGCGGATAGAATTTTGATCAATCTAAAAGCGGAACCAATTCAAAATATTGGAGACCAACAATTGAAAAGGTACTATCAACTTTTATAAATAAAACGTTGATTATTCTTTCCTCGCCAATCGAACGCAAATTACCAGCATCATCGGATATGGGAAACTTTCCCCAACCCAAAGATGGTGTTAATTTGCGTAGGCGAGTCTTGAGTCACGAGAAAAGGAGTTCCGAAGATTTGTTCGCAATAACTGATGTGCTCTTTTCAGTTGTTGGTAGTGATTTGCTCGATTGGTTCCGCTATTTGACAACTCAATTGGTTCCCAAGATTCTATCCGCCAGACTATGAATATAGCGACTATAATTTAGGCTACCAATGTGGTTACACAAAGCTTTAGTATGTACACATATTAAGTATGTGTCCGACACATAGATATCATTTGTTGATCACATTGCAAAAATTCATGTGCGGGACACATAAAAACAATCTGAAATTTTATGAGTGTAAACACGAGAAACAACAGGGAATCTATTTTCTTATATTTTGACAGTCGACTGCTTTGCCCAAAAATGAAATAGTTTTGGCACTGTCATTTCCGCGAGAAGAGAAAAACACGTCACAGACAAAAAGAAGCCAGTTGTCACCTCTCCCTCTTATGGTGGTAAGCTCCAACTGGTATTATCCTCAGATTAAATCCCGATCAAGAATATACAGCTGCTTTGACTTCAACATCAGAGTTAAATAACACGACTCTAAAGCTGGGTTTAGATGATTCAAGTCAATTGATCAACTCAGTTGAATTCAATTGGCTTGAAAAGTTGAGCCTGGTCCAACTTTTTTCAATTCAAGTGAGTTGATCAAGTCAGTTGAATGGCATGGTTTACACGTTCAATTCACGTTCAAGTCAGTTAAATTCAACTGACTTGATCAATTGACTTGCCCTGTCTAAACCCAGCTTAAGCGAATATTTGGCAGATCGTCGAAACAGGGTCGGAATTAAAAGTTAATCCAAGATGGAGCTTACCGTCTTTAGTGTATATGAGGTAGGCGACGATTGTTCGTATTTGACCGATACATCCCACCCCTGATTTACATGCGCTGATGCGAGTTTCAACAAAATTGGCAAACAAATCAGTGCCAACATTTCAAAGGGTCGTAATTGATTTTGTCGTTCATACAATGCAGCAGAATTTGATCGTAATGTTTGGGAACGTAAGGGACCAAACATCAGTCCAGGTTCAACTGTTTTTTATACAGACGGTTCAAGATTCAACAATCTTGTGAGAACAGGCGTAATAGTACGTTCAGACTACAGAGTTATAACATGTTATAGTGCTATCTTGATGGTGGTTTCTGTGTTGCAATTATTTGACAACCGTTATAACATGTTATAACTCTCCAGTCTGTACAGCGTTTAACTGATCCAGGGATAGATATCTCAATATCTATGGATTATTGACCAACCGTGTTCCAAGCAGAAATTCAAGCAATTCTTGATTGCTCTGTAATATGCTTGCGCAGAAATTATAAACATTCGAATATCTGCATTATGTCTGATAGTCAAGTAGCATTAAATGATTTAAAATCAGTAACATGCAATTCAAAACTCGTATGGGAATGTGCAATGCCACTTCAGTAATTGGCCTGTCAAAACCAAGTAAACCTATATTGGGTTCCTGGCCACTGTGGAATTGAAGGGAATGAAAAAGCCAACACGTTAGCCAGGCTTGGATCATCTCAGCAATTCATAGGACCAGAACCATTCTGTGGAGTTTATACTTGTCCTCTTATAATGGAGATCAAGAAATGGAAGAAAAAAAAAGGGGGGCCCAATTGGAACAACACTTCCTTACTAAGCAGTCGAAACGGTTCATAATTCCGAACATTTTGACTAGCAAAATTCTTGAATTATCAAAGAAAGATCTCAGAGTCTATACTGGTTTGATAACAGGACATTCCCAACAAACAATTTGAGTTGATCAACAGCTGAATAAGCTATTTTTTAGCTTAAGAAGCATGTTTTTGCCTGAATAAGCTCTTATTCAACATTCAATGTTTGTTGGGTTGTCCATGTAAATATCATTTAAAGGTAATAGGAAAACTTCAAGAGGATATGTGTCGATTATGTGGCATAGAAAAGGAAGACTCTGAACACCTGCTATGCTCTTGTGCAGCAATTTCAATAAAAGGCAAGATAAAAGGCGTATTTTTCTGGATAAAAGGCTGGCAGAACCGAGGGGGACGACTCTATCTGCGATGCAGAAAAGATTGTGTTTTACTGTGGCTAGCTGCGCGCACGCTGAGTAGACAGAAAGAAGATTGATGACGATTCTGAAGATTTCCTGCAAAAAGATGATGCACGATGCAAGTAGATGCGCCAAATGAAAGAAGATTTTTCGAAGATTGATTAGCTAGTGTGAGATTTGTTGAGCATCTAAACTTGAGATTTAGATGTGTCGCCCCCCTCGGGCAGAACCCTTTGATATGGAATGCAGATCCCAGTCAAGTAGTACATTTCGTTCGAAATGTAATACCTGGCTGGGAAAATGCTTTTGGTCAGTCTATGTCGGTCGCTTCACAAAATAGTGATACGACATAACTGATAAAGCAATATAAAAACGGGGAATATCACAATAGATCAAAGCGAGGATCAAAGTAATGGTTGCAGTCAGTGTTGGCAAAATCAGAAATCAATTGATATTTTTCGCAATATCACGCGTGATATTGGAACAAAATATCATGCTTGATATTGATTTTTCCGGGTCCGCTCATTCATCTCTTGCTCTGAAGATTTTTAATTAATACGATATGAGAATTTTTTAAAGTGTGAAATGTTTCATCGTATCTTTTGGCCAAAAAATCCACGTGCATCGCACTGTGCCAAAAAGCGAACCAGCGGACAGTAATCACAACAAACGAAGCAAAACATAACCGGCGTTTTTGTGTGTGCGCGCATTTTCTTTGGCCAAACAAAATCCTCATACGAGTCACGAAAATTTTGTCACAGCACGTGAAATTCGCCTTCAATTACCGTAAATTTATTATGACCATTACCTCAAAAGATGCAAAGACTGTACCAAATCCGGCGGTACTGCAACCAGCAGGAAATTTTTCCACGTAGCACCGTCCGCCGACTAAAAGTGCAAAATGATATGAGTGCAGTGCCATCGAACCAGGAGCAGAAGATTGTACACGAACCGAAACCGGTGACGGCGCCAAACCCAGCCCGTCTGAATGAGATGAACATCCAGTTGCTGCCCAAAGGCCTGTACGAGCAAATCTTCAGTGTAGGTTCGGGCCGTAAGTCACATTCGCCAACGTCAGCCCAGATCGAAGCCCTACGAAAAGATCTCACCCGACATGGAATTCCTTTGGCTAGTCCGGAAATTATGCCCGGTGTTGATTTGCGATTGCCAAAGTTAAAAGGAAGCGACATTGAAGAGCATTTCTTACGGATTGCTGAGGAGCAAAGTAAACCGTACAGAGATCTGCTTCAACTGCTGGTGAGTAGTGAGATTCCGACCATTCCGGACCGCTGGTCGGACACTCCCGGTTGGACGTGCTACGACCCCGACCGGGGACCAGTGTCTGTCCCATACCCGGACGAACAGGCGTTCATATTCGACGTGGAAGTCTGTGTTCCGGCAGGAGTGGCCCCGGTAATGGCCACCGCTTTGAGCCCTTCCCGTTGGTACTCGTGGACCAGTTCGAATTTGATCAATCTGGTTCCTTTCGGGGAAGGTCATCGTTACCAGCCAGCGGAGTTGATTCCCATGGAATCGAGCGATAAGGATAAACGTGCGGACGGTCGATTCCAGGTGCCGAAGGTGCTGGTAGGACACAATGTGTCGTACGATCGGGCTCGGATCCGAGAACAGTATTGGTTAGAGGCGACGGGATTACGTTTTGTGGATACGATGTCACTGCACGTTTGTGTAAGCGGAGTGACCAGCTACCAGCGGGCGATGCTGAAGTCGAGTAAGGAGATGCCACTGGAGGACCTGGGGTGGAGCAGTCAGAGTTCGCTAAACAATCTGGCGGATGTCTATCAGCTGTATTGTGGGGACAAATTGGATAAGGAGAAGCGGAATATTTTCCTGGAGGGGACGTTAGCGGATGTGAGGGAGGACTTCCAAAATTTGATGTCCTATTGTGCGGGGGATGTAAAGGCAACGAAGGGAGTATTAGAACAGTTGCTTCCGCTGTTTCTGGAACGATTTCCGCACCCTGCGACGCTGGCCGGGATGCTGGAAATAGGAAATGCGTATTTGCCAGTGAATAGCAATTGGAGCAGGTATATTCAAGAATCGGACTTGGCATACGAAGATTTGGATATCGAGGCGAAGCATCTGCTTGCCCAGCGGGCGGATGCGGCCTGTCGATTGATGCACGACCAAGAGTATCGAAAAGATTTGTGGTTGTGGGATCATGACTGGAGTGTGCAGGAACTGAAACTGAAGGCGCCCAAGAAGGTGTCGAAGAAGAAGGGTATTGTTGTCCCGGTGGAGGAGAAGATGGATCCGGTGGATGGAGAGGAGGATTTGGATCCTCTTGCGGCGAAGTTTGAGTACCTGTATAAAACGAAGGAACAGCTTCCAGTGAGACGTCCATTGCTTCCTGGCTATCCGGCTTGGTATCGGAACCTTTGCTCGGTAAGTGGCGAACCAGGTACTTCCATTCAGAATGAAATTTAATTCCGTTTTTTTTTTCTGTTTGTAGAAACCGACGGTAGACGAGTGGTCCCCGGGTCCGACCAACATCGGTACCGGCATGCAGATTGCTCCGAAGCTGCTGCGCCTGTGCTGGGAAGGTTACCCGTTGCATTTCATCCGTGGTCAGGGCTGGGGTTTTCTGGTGCCGCACAAGTTCGCACGCGATGACCCGGACCAGGCCGGTATGATTCCGCTGGATCAGCTAGTCGAAGCTTGTCCGGTATTGGAAATTAATCCACATGCGTCGGCAGAGGAAAGTCACGAGGCACTCGGCAGTCTGTGGCGGGATGTAGAGCAGAACATTAGCCGGAAGGATTACTACCGGAAGCTGAAGCAGAACAAGACTAACAACGCATATAAGGGAACTGGGATTTGGTGCAACCTGGATCTGGAAGAGTGCTGTTATTTTCTGAAGCTGCCACACAAGGATGGTCCTTCGCATAGGGTAGGGAATCCGTTGTCCAAGGATTTTCTGAACAAGTTCTCGGAGAATGTCCTAGCCGGGGATGGGAAAACGGCGGAGAGGGTTGTCGAAATTGCCAAGATGTTGTCCTACTGGAGGAACAATCGGGATAGGATCAACGGACAGTTGGTGGTTTGGCTAGGGAAGGATCAATTGCCAAAGAGTTTGAGGGACGAGGACGTGGAATATGGAGCGATAATTCCGCAGGTTGTAGTCTGCGGGACACTGACGCGAAGGGCTATGGAACCGACCTGGATGACGGCAAGCAATGCCCAAAGGGAACGCATCGGATCCGAACTGAGGGCGATGGTGCAAGCTCCGAAAGGGTTCAAAATGGTTGGAGCTGACGTAGACAGTCAGGAGCTATGGATTGCGTCGGTTCTGGGTGATGGCCATGCAGCAGGGATTCATGGAGCTACCCCTTTCGGGTGGATGACCTTGAGTGGGTCGAAAGCAGCCAAGACTGATATGCACAGCGTCACGGCGCAGGCAGTTGGAATTTCCCGGGATCACGCCAAGGTCATCAATTATGCAAGAATCTACGGTGCAGGACAGAACTTTGCCGAACGGCTGCTCAAGCAGTTCAATCCAACCTTTTCGGAAGCGGAAGCCCGTTCGAAGGCTATGAAGATGTTTGCTCTGACCAAAGGGAAGAAATTTTACTACCTCAAACCGGAATTCCGGGACGAATTTCCACATAAAGGTTACTCCGGCTACGAAGCCTTGAAGATGGCGAGGGTCTGCAATAAAGGGGTTGATGAATTGTTCGAGAAGGCTCGCTGGGAGGGTGGGACCGAAAGTGCCATGTTCAATCGACTGGAAGAAATTGCCGGATCGGAAGCTCCCGTAACTCCATTTCTGGGAGGACGCTTGAGCCGGGCCTTGGAGCCCCAGGAGGGAACCGAAGAGCGTTTCCTACCGACCCGCATCAACTGGGTCGTTCAGAGTGGAGCCGTAGACTTCCTCCATCTGATGCTGGTGTCGATGCGTTGGTTGATGGGCAACCGGGTTCGGTTCTGCCTGAGCTTCCACGACGAAGTGCGCTACCTGGTGGAAGATCAGTACGCGCACCGAGCGGCACTGGCCATGCACGCAACGAATCTTCTGACGCGAGCTTTCTGTGTTTCAAGGTAAGCTATTAAATAACCGTTTATTTAAAGTATTCTCTACTAATTCAGAACTTCCGTCTGCTCTAGATTGGGCCTCAACGACCTACCGCATTCGGTAGCCTTCTTTTCCACGGTCGAAGTAGACACCGTCCTCCGTAAGGAATCACATATGGACTGCAAAACTCCCTCCAACCCCCATGGGCTCGCCGTGGGATACGGCATTCCGAATGGGGAATCTCTCGACATCTACCAACTGTTGGAGCGGCTCGGCCCATCCGAATCCGACATGGCTCGTTGGGAGTGGCATCGGAAGGAACAAGCGCCCCAAAAAACTCCGAAGAAAACCGTGACAATTGTTAGGAAGAAGTCGAAATAAACGTTTATATTGCACTGTTACACGAAAGATTTGTACCACTTGACTAAATCGACCTCCGAACGGGGTAGATCCAAGTGACGGGCTTTGTGCGATTGCTTTCTGAATCGATCTGGAAATTGCTTGGTGATGTCATCTCGACTGACCGCCGCAGTTCGACCACAATCTCCTAGATTTATGTAACTGGCATGGGCACAGTACGCGGAAGCTTCCTTCCAATCCGATGAGTACATGTATTCCAGCACATTGTTCAAGTCCTGGAAATCGATCCAATTTTCATAAGAATAAAAATAACTTGGAATAGTGCTTAATTTGAACCGAATTTACCTCGCCACCCAAATCGGTCAACGAAACTTGCGGAAACAGATTCACCTTCGGTTGGTTTTTCGAGAAGGGACGTTGCCCTTTTCCACCATCAACAACGGGTTTAGTCTGCCCAATGATGGCCTTCGGCCGGTGGAACAGATTGAAGCGAATTTTGCGAGGCCCTTCGGTCAATGTTTCTGAATCGATTTGATGCTTGGGGTTGCGCTTCCTGCGGGACCACATTTTAGTTTTTTTTTTGTTTCGTTTCGATCGCTCCGACTGTCACCGGCAAGTGATTTATGACTTTCTGATTCGCGAACATGGTTACCTGGATGTTTTCTGTCTGCCCATTAGTTGGCGTGATTTGTCGATTTGTCAGTCAGGTGGTTGCTGATGAACCGGACAGCATGGGTAAATATTGACCCATGGGAACCGAAACATCTGTTTTTGGGGGAAAGGTAAGCAAGTTGTCACGTTCATCAGTGATGCATAGTTGCTTGTGCATAATGTATTAGGTAAGAAAACGGCAAACTAGCACGTGTCACCGTCTAACGAATGAAATCTTTTAGCGATAAAAAGCGTTGAAGCGATGGAAAATTCCGCCTCAAGAGAAAGCGAAATGTCTTGTCGAAAGGCAGGAATTTTACATTTCAACTTGTATCAAAAAAGCAGAATAAAATTGGAACACTTTACTAAAATGGAATGATGAAATCAAGGATGATTTTTTGAAAGGACAACTCAAAATAAAAATCGTCGAAAGTATCGTTATGATTTTGATTGTAGATTTTATGCCTGGATTGCACAGGGTGGCTACTATTAGGGTTCCACTAGGTCGGAGACGAAGCGTGGGACAACTCTCCACCTAAGATCATATCCCAAGTAACAATTCTGGTTTTATGAGGGTTCTGTAGACCATGATTTAGACTTGTAGAATGCTATAAAACCTCAATAAAACTTGTAATGATGCTTGGGATGGGCATTAAATAAACCAACCAAAGAAAATCTGAAAACTGTGGTCCCGCGCTTCAACGAGCTCATTAGAACAACGCTGAATGGACGCTTCAAACTGACGTTGGAGGAATTGACAATCATCGATCGAGCAGATCTGTAAGTAGATTTTGAGATCGTCTGCATACGATAGTCGTGGACCTTCGATAACTAAATTCACGTCATTGAAGTAGAGTAAGAAAATCAACGGTCCCAGATGACTTCCTTGAGGTATTCACCATGGGCTACCACCAACAGACGATCGGCGAGATATGAGCAAAACCATTTCAAGAGATTTCCGCTAATCCCAAGTCTATCCAATTTGGCGATCGCGATGTCGTGATTTATCTTATCGAAGGCAGTAGACAAGTCAGTGTAGATGACGTCTGTTTGTGTCCTTTCAACCATACTTTGCGTGATGTACGATGTCAGACACAGTAGATTCGTGGTAGTAGATCGACCAGAGGTGAAGCCATGTTGGTCTTCACTTAGATACTGCTTAGATACGAGCTCGTTTATACGGATGGTTCAAAAACAGCGAGCAAAGTCGGCTATGGCGTATTCGGCCCCAACCTAGATACCAGCAGAGGCCTTCCTAAGCCTACATCGATCTTATAATATAATAATCCATGGCCCAAACAAATTTAAAAAATTGTGTATGGACAATTGTCTACGCAGAGGGAGGGGGGTCAAGAATCTAAAAAAACAGTCTACGTAGCTAATGAACAGCCCCTTAAAGACGTCGGACATGGAATGATAACTACCAACCCAGATTTAAAAAAGTGCCTTGCAAAATTTTTTAAAATACTTTATTATAGTGATTTAGAAAGCCTTGCAAAAATATCTCAGCTTATGGACTATAATGAATTAATTTGGTAAGAATTTCCAATGATCTCTAGGGTTGCTTTCATGGGAATTAAAGGAAAGAATTGTTAGGAAAACTTGAAGTGAAATCTGAGGCTTCCTTTCAAGTTTGTTGAACTCCCGATGAAACGTTACGATAATACCAAGGTATTTCTGAGTATAATCTCAAGGGAATCCTGAGAAGGATGCAATGAAATTTTCAACATAATTCTGAGGAGTCCAAGGTAATTTCAAAGAGATTTCCAAGACAGTTCTATCTACGGAATTTGTAAGAACTTGTCAGTAGAATTCCAAGAATACCGTATGCGTGATAATGTTTGCACCATCGTACAAATAAGGTTCCCGTTTCACCTGTGCTTACAATGCCTAGGTTTTCTTTGCATGCACGAAACCTATAGCTCATACCGTAGTAGCATAGAGGTAGGTAGTAGGCTGCGCATAAAAGAAAATGATTTACTTAGTTTGACAGTTGCACCATAGAGGTAACTCTAAGACCACTGGGTCCCGAAGAAAATCATTATTATTTTTGGCTCACTCAGTACCAGAACAACGGTCCCAAGCAGTCCCAAGCTATTTCACTCACCCCTGCATGTTCTGCATGAATCCACACACCCCTGATGTTATCTGTCAAACTTTCATAGCGAATCAAAACAAACATAGTGTAGTAATAGAATTTCAACTAGAATAGGGTACGTTAATCGTTTGCTTGGGACCAATAGGCTACTAAAGTGGTGAGCCAATTTAAAATCGTTAGTTTCGTATTGATTGTTGGTTGCACCATGACGAAGTGGCAGCGTATTCGTGATTTGTCCCATGCGCAAGTGTCGCAAAAGACATTTCAATCGCCGTGGGAGTGTCCCGGTGGACTGTCAAAAGGGTTTTAGACCGAGAAAAGAAAGGACAACTATCCGCGAAGGTGACCACAGGTCGTCCGAGGTCAGCTCGGGTTCCGAGGGTTATCGCTGCTATCAAAAGGAAGATTCGGGTGAATCCAGTGCGTTCAATAAGGAAAATGGCAAAGGAACACGGGATCACGGAACATCGTAAAGGAAGATTGCGGGGCGAAGTCGAGGGCACGAAAAAAAAACTCACATGATTACCAACCGCATAATGGCCACCAACCGCATAATGGCCACCGCTTTGAGCCCTTCCCGTTGGTACTCGTGGACCAGTTCGAATTTGATCAATCTGGTTCCTTTCGGGGAAGGTCATCGTTACCAGCCAGCGGAGTTGATTCCCATGGAATCGAGCGATAAGGATAAACGTGCGGACGGTCGATTCCAGGTGCCGAAGGTGCTGGTAGGACACAATGTGTCGTACGATCGGGCTCGGATCCGAGAACAGTATTGGTTAGAGGCGACGGGATTACGTTTTGTGGATACGATGTCACTGCACGTTTGTGTAAGCGGAGTGACCAGCTACCAGCGGGCGATGCTGAAGTCGAGTAAGGAGATGCCACTGGAGGACCTGGGGTGGAGCAGTCAGAGTTCGCTAAACAATCTGGCGGATGTCTATCAGCTGTATTGTGGGGACAAATTGGATAAGGAGAAGCGGAATATTTTCCTGGAGGGGACGTTAGCGGATGTGAGGGAGGACTTCCAAAATTTGATGTCCTATTGTGCGGGGGATGTAAAGGCAACGAAGGGAGTATTAGAACAGTTGCTTCCGCTGTTTCTGGAACGATTTCCGCACCCTGCGACGCTGGCCGGGATGCTGGAAATAGGAAATGCGTATTTGCCAGTGAATAGCAATTGGAGCAGGTATATTCAAGAATCGGACTTGGCATACGAAGATTTGGATATCGAGGCGAAGCATCTGCTTGCCCAGCGGGCGGATGCGGCCTGTCGATTGATGCACGACCAAGAGTATCGAAAAGATTTGTGGTTGTGGGATCATGACTGGAGTGTGCAGGAACTGAAACTGAAGGCGCCCAAGAAGGTGTCGAAGAAGAAGGGTATTGTTGTCCCGGTGGAGGAGAAGATGGATCCGGTGGATGGAGAGGAGGATTTGGATCCTCTTGCGGCGAAGTTTGAGTACCTGTATAAAACGAAGGAACAGCTTCCAGTGAGACGTCCATTGCTTCCTGGCTATCCGGCTTGGTATCGGAACCTTTGCTCGGTAAGTGGCGAACCAGGTACTTCCATTCAGAATGAAATTTAATTCCGTTTTTTTTTTCTGTTTGTAGAAACCGACGGTAGACGAGTGGTCCCCGGGTCCGACCAACATCGGTACCGGCATGCAGATTGCTCCGAAGCTGCTGCGCCTGTGCTGGGAAGGTTACCCGTTGCATTTCATCCGTGGTCAGGGCTGGGGTTTTCTGGTGCCGCACAAGTTCGCACGCGATGACCCGGACCAGGCCGGTATGATTCCGCTGGATCAGCTAGTCGAAGCTTGTCCGGTATTGGAAATTAATCCACATGCGTCGGCAGAGGAAAGTCACGAGGCACTCGGCAGTCTGTGGCGGGATGTAGAGCAGAACATTAGCCGGAAGGATTACTACCGGAAGCTGAAGCAGAACAAGACTAACAACGCATATAAGGGAACTGGGATTTGGTGCAACCTGGATCTGGAAGAGTGCTGTTATTTTCTGAAGCTGCCACACAAGGATGGTCCTTCGCATAGGGTAGGGAATCCGTTGTCCAAGGATTTTCTGAACAAGTTCTCGGAGAATGTCCTAGCCGGGGATGGGAAAACGGCGGAGAGGGTTGTCGAAATTGCCAAGATGTTGTCCTACTGGAGGAACAATCGGGATAGGATCAACGGACAGTTGGTGGTTTGGCTAGGGAAGGATCAATTGCCAAAGAGTTTGAGGGACGAGGACGTGGAATATGGAGCGATAATTCCGCAGGTTGTAGTCTGCGGGACACTGACGCGAAGGGCTATGGAACCGACCTGGATGACGGCAAGCAATGCCCAAAGGGAACGCATCGGATCCGAACTGAGGGCGATGGTGCAAGCTCCGAAAGGGTTCAAAATGGTTGGAGCTGACGTAGACAGTCAGGAGCTATGGATTGCGTCGGTTCTGGGTGATGGCCATGCAGCAGGGATTCATGGAGCTACCCCTTTCGGGTGGATGACCTTGAGTGGGTCGAAAGCAGCCAAGACTGATATGCACAGCGTCACGGCGCAGGCAGTTGGAATTTCCCGGGATCACGCCAAGGTCATCAATTATGCAAGAATCTACGGTGCAGGACAGAACTTTGCCGAACGGCTGCTCAAGCAGTTCAATCCAACCTTTTCGGAAGCGGAAGCCCGTTCGAAGGCTATGAAGATGTTTGCTCTGACCAAAGGGAAGAAATTTTACTACCTCAAACCGGAATTCCGGGACGAATTTCCACATAAAGGTTACTCCGGCTACGAAGCCTTGAAGATGGCGAGGGTCTGCAATAAAGGGGTTGATGAATTGTTCGAGAAGGCTCGCTGGGAGGGTGGGACCGAAAGTGCCATGTTCAATCGACTGGAAGAAATTGCCGGATCGGAAGCTCCCGTAACTCCATTTCTGGGAGGACGCTTGAGCCGGGCCTTGGAGCCCCAGGAGGGAACCGAAGAGCGTTTCCTACCGACCCGCATCAACTGGGTCGTTCAGAGTGGAGCCGTAGACTTCCTCCATCTGATGCTGGTGTCGATGCGTTGGTTGATGGGCAACCGGGTTCGGTTCTGCCTGAGCTTCCACGACGAAGTGCGCTACCTGGTGGAAGATCAGTACGCGCACCGAGCGGCACTGGCCATGCACGCAACGAATCTTCTGACGCGAGCTTTCTGTGTTTCAAGGTAAGCTATTAAATAACCGTTTATTTAAAGTATTCTCTACTAATTCAGAACTTCCGTCTGCTCTAGATTGGGCCTCAACGACCTACCGCATTCGGTAGCCTTCTTTTCCACGGTCGAAGTAGACACCGTCCTCCGTAAGGAATCACATATGGACTGCAAAACTCCCTCCAACCCCCATGGGCTCGCCGTGGGATACGGCATTCCGAATGGGGAATCTCTCGACATCTACCAACTGTTGGAGCGGCTCGGCCCATCCGAATCCGACATGGCTCGTTGGGAGTGGCATCGGAAGGAACAAGCGCCCCAAAAAACTCCGAAGAAAACCGTGACAATTGTTAGGAAGAAGTCGAAATAAACGTTTATATTGCACTGTTACACGAAAGATTTGTACCACTTGACTAAATCGACCTCCGAACGGGGTAGATCCAAGTGACGGGCTTTGTGCGATTGCTTTCTGAATCGATCTGGAAATTGCTTGGTGATGTCATCTCGACTGACCGCCGCAGTTCGACCACAATCTCCTAGATTTATGTAACTGGCATGGGCACAGTACGCGGAAGCTTCCTTCCAATCCGATGAGTACATGTATTCCAGCACATTGTTCAAGTCCTGGAAATCGATCCAATTTTCATAAGAATAAAAATAACTTGGAATAGTGCTTAATTTGAACCGAATTTACCTCGCCACCCAAATCGGTCAACGAAACTTGCGGAAACAGATTCACCTTCGGTTGGTTTTTCGAGAAGGGACGTTGCCCTTTTCCACCATCAACAACGGGTTTAGTCTGCCCAATGATGGCCTTCGGCCGGTGGAACAGATTGAAGCGAATTTTGCGAGGCCCTTCGGTCAATGTTTCTGAATCGATTTGATGCTTGGGGTTGCGCTTCCTGCGGGACCACATTTTAGTTTTTTTTTTGTTTCGTTTCGATCGCTCCGACTGTCACCGGCAAGTGATTTATGACTTTCTGATTCGCGAACATGGTTACCTGGATGTTTTCTGTCTGCCCATTAGTTGGCGTGATTTGTCGATTTGTCAGTCAGGTGGTTGCTGATGAACCGGACAGCATGGGTAAATATTGACCCATGGGAACCGAAACATCTGTTTTTGGGGGAAAGGTAAGCAAGTTGTCACGTTCATCAGTGATGCATAGTTGCTTGTGCATAATGTATTAGGTAAGAAAACGGCAAACTAGCACGTGTCACCGTCTAACGAATGAAATCTTTTAGCGATAAAAAGCGTTGAAGCGATGGAAAATTCCGCCTCAAGAGAAAGCGAAATGTCTTGTCGAAAGGCAGGAATTTTACATTTCAACTTGTATCAAAAAAGCAGAATAAAATTGGAACACTTTACTAAAATGGAATGATGAAATCAAGGATGATTTTTTGAAAGGACAACTCAAAATAAAAATCGTCGAAAGTATCGTTATGATTTTGATTGTAGATTTTATGCCTGGATTGCACAGGGTGGCTACTATTAGGGTTCCACTAGGTCGGAGACGAAGCGTGGGACAACTCTCCACCTAAGATCATATCCCAAGTAACAATTCTGGTTTTATGAGGGTTCTGTAGACCATGATTTAGACTTGTAGAATGCTATAAAACCTCAATAAAACTTGTAATGATGCTTGGGATGGGTATTAAATAAACCAACCAAAGAAAATCTGAAAACTGTGGTCCCGCGCTTCAACGAGCTCATTAGAACAACGCTGAATGGACGCTTCAAACTGACGTTGGAGGAATTGACAATCATCGATCGAGCAGATCTGTAAGTAGATTTTGAGATCGTCTGCATACGATAGTCGTGGACCTTCGATAACTAAATTCACGTCATTGAAGTAGAGTAAGAAAATCAACGGTCCCAGATGACTTCCTTGAGGTATTCACCATGGGCTACCACCAACAGACGATCGGCGAGATATGAGCAAAACCATTTCAAGAGATTTCCGCTAATCCCAAGTCTATCCAATTTGGCGATCGCGATGTCGTGATTTATCTTATCGAAGGCAGTAGACAAGTCAGTGTAGATGACGTCTGTTTGTGTCCTTTCAACCATACTTTGCGTGATGTACGATGTCAGACACAGTAGATTCGTGGTAGTAGATCGACCAGAGGTGAAGCCATGTTGGTCTTCACTTAGATACTGCTTAGATACGAGCTCGTTTATACGGATGGTTCAAAAACAGCGAGCAAAGTCGGCTATGGCGTATTCGGCCCCAACCTAGATACCAGCAGAGGCCTTCCTAAGCCTACATCGATCTTATAATATAATAATCCATGGCCCAAACAAATTTAAAAAATTGTGTATGGACAATTGTCTACGCAGAGGGAGGGGGGTCAAGAATCTAAAAAAACAGTCTACGTAGCTAATGAACAGCCCCTTAAAGACGTCGGACATGGAATGATAACTACCAACCCAGATTTAAAAAAGTGCCTTGCAAAATTTTTTAAAATACTTTATTATAGTGATTTAGAAAGCCTTGCAAAAATATCTCAGCTTATGGACTATAATGAATTAATTTGGTAAGAATTTCCAATGATCTCTAGGGTTGCTTTCATGGGAATTAAAGGAAAGAATTGTTAGGAAAACTTGAAGTGAAATCTGAGGCTTCCTTTCAAGTTTGTTGAACTCCCGATGAAACGTTACGATAATACCAAGGTATTTCTGAGTATAATCTCAAGGGAATCCTGAGAAGGATGCAATGAAATTTTCAACATAATTCTGAGGAGTCCAAGGTAATTTCAAAGAGATTTCCAAGACAGTTCTATCTACGGAATTTGTAAGAACTTGTCAGTAGAATTCCAAGAATACCGTATGCGTGATAATGTTTGCACCATCGTACAAATAAGGTTCCCGTTTCACCTGTGCTTACAATGCCTAGGTTTTCTTTGCATGCACGAAACCTATAGCTCATACCGTAGTAGCATAGAGGTAGGTAGTAGGCTGCGCATAAAAGAAAATGATTTACTTAGTTTGACAGTTGCACCATAGAGGTAACTCTAAGACCACTGGGTCCCGAAGAAAATCATTATTATTTTTGGCTCACTCAGTACCAGAACAACGGTCCCAAGCAGTCCCAAGCTATTTCACTCACCCCTGCATGTTCTGCATGAATCCACACACCCCTGATGTTATCTGTCAAACTTTCATAGCGAATCAAAACAAACATAGTGTAGTAATAGAATTTCAACTAGAATAGGGTACGTTAATCGTTTGCTTGGGACCAATAGGCTACTAAAGTGGTGAGCCAATTTAAAATCGTTAGTTTCGTATTGATTGTTGGTTGCACCATGACGAAGTGGCAGCGTATTCGTGATTTGTCCCATGCGCAAGTGTCGCAAAAGACATTTCAATCGCCGTGGGAGTGTCCCGGTGGACTGTCAAAAGGGTTTTAGACCGAGAAAAGAAAGGACAACTATCCGCGAAGGTGACCACAGGTCGTCCGAGGTCAGCTCGGGTTCCGAGGGTTATCGCTGCTATCAAAAGGAAGATTCGGGTGAATCCAGTGCGTTCAATAAGGAAAATGGCAAAGGAACACGGGATCACGGAACATCGTAAAGGAAGATTGCGGGGCGAAGTCGAGGGCACGAAAAAAAAACTCACATGATTACCAACCGCATCCGGGAGCTACGAGTCGAACGATGCAAGAAAATCTTGAACTATCATAAGCGAAAAAAATCCGGTAATCCTGTTCACCGACGAGAGCATGTTTACCGTCGAACCCGTATCAAATTCCAGAACCGACCGGTATATTAGTTCTCTTGCGGTAAAAACGTGGCCGACGAGCACAAGAACGTGTATCTGACCAAGCATCCTGCTAGCGTTTTGGTGTTTGGATTGGTGGCTTCCGATGGCAAAAAAAAAATGGACCCGGTGTTCATTCCAGAAGGCGACAAGGTCAACACGGAGGTCTAAATCGGGATTTTAAGTAAGTATGTTCTTCCGTGGATCAAAGAACAGTACGGTCCGAAGCCAAATGTTGTATTTCAACAAGATGGGGCTCCGTGCCACACCTCGAACCGCACTCAGAAGTGGTTGCAGGAACATCTTCCGTTCTGGGCGAAGGATATGTGGCCGCCATCCAGCCCGATCTTAATCAGCTGGATTACTTAATATGGCGCGTCATGAAGACCAAGGCCTATTCTAAACGCCACCCGAGTACAGCAAGCCTCAGACAAACATTGACCCGTACCTAGAGAGAAATGGATCCAGACTACATTATTAGAACCTGCCGTGCATTCCGGAAGCGTGTGGAGGCCGTAATTGCAGCAAATGGAAACTCGATCGATGATTAACATAGTTTAAGACTCTGAGAAACATCCCCCATTTGAATAAATAAAAAAACTCGAAAACGAAGTTTCTGAGATTTTTTAAATTTTGACATTGCTCAATGGTGTAAACATTATCACGCATACGGTAGGAGTATCTAAAGAGAATTTTGGAAATAACTCAATGAACATTTTGAAGATAATTCCAAAGGAATTCTGTTGAATGTTTCAGCCTTCTGAAGATAATACCTAGAGTATTATGGAACAAATTGTAAGGGAACTCTCGAGGGAACTCTCTGGTATTATGTTCTGATTCTAAGATGATTCTAAGAAAATTCTTGAGAGAATCCTAAAGAAATCCCACCGACAAACCGACATGAATGACCATAGCAAAAACAATAAAATTGCTGACCCAAGCACACTACTGACATCTGGCTCCGTGATCGCGGGAAATATTTAGCTAAACCATGAACCCGCATGCAAACATTATGAATTGGTTCGTGTCTGATCTATTATGGACAAATTATTTTTATCTAGATCAATAAATCCTATGGTTTTGACAGTTCGGATCACTGCACATTTAAATCGGCCGTTTACGATTTTTGGGCATAAGTCAGAATTAAGTGTCATGTCGGTTTTTCGGTGGAAATGCTGCGAAGAACACCAAGAACACAGACAAATAGTCATAAGTTGGTAACATCGCCAGCTGTGGCGCTCATAGTCAACTGCCTAGCCGTTTGACGTTTAAACACTATCGCCATCTGTTGAGCGTGGTACGGTGACGCTGTTTTTCAGTGATAAATCAAGCTGAACATTGCATTAGGACTTTCTCTTTTGACGGCGCCGGTGGTGTAGTGGTAAGCGTGATTACCTCTCACCACAGCAGGCCTGTGGTTCTGAGGCATAACATCTCTGATCACGCCTTCCTTCGGATGGGAAGTAAAGCCGTTGGTCCCCGGTTCATGAGTTGATGGGTCGATAGGTAGGGTCCAGGTGTGGGAGCTGCCTTCCTGGCACGTCGGTAGCATTGGTGCTCAGCACGGAAAACAAGATCGACGGAAAAAACAAACCAAAGGACTTTCTATTTCGTTAATAATATGAGCACATAACCATTTTTTGTACCGTGCGGAAATCTTGCAAAGACCATTGCAAAATTCCCTAAATAATCTGTCTTTCTGGGCAAGAGATTTAGGGATCGAGTTTTCACCGTAAAAAACTGAATTGGTAGTGTTTACAAGGAAGCAGTTTGCAGCCCAACTGCGTCTAAATCTTTTGGGCAGCGACATTACCCAATCTTTGACTTTCAAACACCGACAAACCGACATGAATGATCATACAAAGTATCATCAAATTTATGATCAAAGCACAAAACTGACATCTGCCGCCGTGTTCGCGAAAATTGTGTATCCTAGCCACGAACACGCATACAAACTGTATGAGCTGGTTCGTGTCTAATCTATTCCGGGGAAATTATTTTTATCTAGATAACAAATTTCTATGGTTTTAACAGATGGGATCGCTGCACATTTGAATCCGCCGTTATGGATTCTTGATCAAGAGTTAAGTTTAAGTTTAATGTCGGTTTGTCGGTGTTTCAAATACCTCGTTTGATTCAAAATGCACTTGGGGTACCCATATTAGGTATTTGAAACAAGTGTCAACAGAGGATCAACTTTCTACGATCAATCTTCGGGACATGTTGGAGCACCCCGGAAGACCTAATTAAACTGTATAAAACGACTATTCTTTCAGTTCTTGAGTATGGCTATTTTTGCATCCTCTCAGCAAGAAAAAGCCACCTAATTAAATTGGAACGCATTCAATATCGTTGCTTACGTATTGCATTTGGCTGTATGCATTCAACACACAATATGAGCCTAGAGGTTCTAGCGGGAGTAAAACCCCTGCAGAACCGAACATTAAGAATATTGATTAAATGTAGTGCCAGTAAAAACCTTGTGATTGAAAACTTCGAAGAAATGCTCGAATTGAGAATCAAGTCTAGATTCGTGCGAATCTATCTTAATTATATGTCATCGGATATTAGCCTTCCGTGCTATAACCCCCCTCGTGTATGCTTTACTAACTACAGTTCCCCCATAGACTATGATCTCTCCATGAAACAGGCTATTCAAGGAGTTCCAGATCATCTTCGACCTATCTCAATTCCCCGTATTTTTGCTGAAAAGTACCAAGAAGTCAATTGCAATAGAAGATTTTACACTGATGGATCACGCATTGATAGATCCACTGGCTTCGACGTCTTCAATTAATACCCAACCAGCTTTCGGAAACTTCAGGAACCTTGTTCCGTTTATGTTGCTAAGCTAGCAGCAATCAACTTCGCATTTGGGATGATTACCGACATGCCCATAGACCATTACTTCATCTTCTCGGATAGTCTCAGTTCGATTGAGGCTATTCGGTCGATGAAACAAGGTAGGTACTCATCTTATTTCCTTTCAAAGGTAAGAGAGCAGATGAGTGTGCTGGTCGAAAGATCATATATGATTACCTTTGTATGGGTCCCCTCACATTGCTCAATCCCAGGAAATGAGAAGGCAGACTCTCTCGCAAAGGTGGGCGCATAGCAAGGCGAGATTTATGATAGAAGAATTTCACATGATGAATTTTTCCCATTAGTACGTCAGAGTTATCTTTTAAGTTGGCAAAACGATTGGACAAGTAATTCTCTTGGGCGGTGGTTACATTTCATTATTCCAAATGTTTCTTCGAGAGCGAGGTTCAAGGGTCGGGGCTTCTTTCGCGTGATGTCAAGACTTATGTCCAACCACTACTCACTAGATGCACATCTCTACAGAATAAACGTCGTTGACAGGAATATACCTATGTAGGTGCAGGCAGAACCGGTTATGATGGCATCGATCACGCAGTTTGGTATTGCCCGGGTAATGATGCCTCCAGAGCACGACTGTTGGATACCCTAGTGGCCGGAGGTAGACAACCATTCCGTGAAGTAAGAGATGTATTGGGAATCCATAATCTTCCCTACATGCAGGCGACCTACGAATTCCTTTGTTTGTCTGATGATAGAGTTTGATGTGACCATCCTCTCCTTTCCAAACAATTTCCAGCCATCCCAGTCTTATTATCCCCCTGTTTCTGTACTACTTGCCCCTGCCCAGCCAGGGGCTATTCGTCCTCTACGTTGCTCTCGGTCCTTCGCTGTGAACGGTGTGAACAAGATTGATGGAATAAACGACCAAGCAATTTACATTTATTATTCATCAATGTCCATATATTATTCCCAATTTACACTCTTGCTAGCGTAAATAAGTAAATCCGTTTGAGAGGCGTATAAAAATCCGTTCTGAAGTGAGAAGACCACCAATTGAATTCCAATCTCCATACCGTATTCGATTCGAAATGACTTCTTTTCCAACCAAAATTATACCCATTCTTCTGATTGTGATTCTGATCCTCATCCTGAAGGCCGTGTCATTGGGAACAAACTACGACGAGCTTCCAAATTGGTTGACTAACCAAACCATTCAGTCACAAATCGCTGCCATTTTCGATGGGATCGATCACATCGATTTAGTGCTCGACGATCATTACTCGAACCGGAGCAACCAGGCAGTAGATCATCTTATCCACCGTGGCGGCGATCAAGTCTTCATGCAGTGGAAGACGATTCGTATCTACAAAAACATACGTCCAAAGGGCGATGAGGAGGGCTGCACCGGTGATCGATCGATACTGTCAGCCATTGTCGAGGTGGATGATTCCTTGGGCTCGGACGAGTTGGAAGCCAGCCAGCTGGATGTGATCGACCGGGACTACGAAGATGAGATGAGCTTCATTGGATGGGAACGGTCGTACGAGTCATTTGCGAAGATTTGGGACCAGAATCACCATTACGGTTACGTGGTACTCACAAGCTGGAGTACGTTTCAAGCGTCGATGAAGTGTCTGTTGGATCCAGTGGCGACGTACTTGGTTGTTTTGAGCTCACCGGCAGGTTTTAACCGTGAAGAATTATCAAACTTGTTTAGCTCTGTTTGGATCCACGAAGGGGTCTACAGGGTGTTCTTTCTAGTGGGCACACAAATTTACACATTTGACCCCTTCCTGGCTAACGGCTCCAATTACGGTGTGTTGAAAGAGCTAAAAGATGTGACGGACATTCCAAGCGTCCCCCGTAGTGACTTTAATGGCTATCCACTTAGAATTGACATGTTTCGATCAACGTATTCGGCTACCATAGTGAACGAAAAAGAAAATACGGTTGATTTCTTCGGAGGAGATGTCGAAGCGAGTCGAGAGTTCGCCAAAGCGCTGAATCTTACTCGTACGGGTCAATCTAGTAGTGTATATTTCTTAGTTAATTGATTTAAAAAATTTCAGCCGATTACCTGCCGCCTGACAAGGATGGCTTCGGGTTCAAATTGCCGAATGGGAGCTTTAATGGAGTCATCGGTCACTTGTCTCGACGCGAGAGCGATATCGTTTTCGTAGGGTTCTTCATCAAGGACTACTACAGTCGAGACGTCGAGTTCACCTCCGGAATCTACACCGACGAACTGTGCTGTCTGGTGAAAAAGGCCAGCCGAGTTCCGGAGTACCTGCTTCCGATCACCATCTTCCCGGCGGATCTATGGGGTTTGCTGTTCCTGATGGGTATCATCTGTTCGATAACGTGGATCGTCCTTCGTGCGGGTATCCAAGCAAAGGCCAGAACCGGCGTTCGATGGGCTCAGCGGCGACGTCTAGCCTTCCTCTTTAATCTGTCGAGCGATATTCGTGATGCTCGTTTGTATCGTAAAATGATTCAAATATTTGTTGATACCTACATAATTCTGGTGAGCGGTCCCTATCAGCGGTTCACCCGTTCCGGCATCGAACGACTGATGCTGTTTGGTATCATGATGGTTAGCTTGATCTTCGTGTCGATGTTCCAGTCGAGCTTGTCTTCCGTTTTCCTGAATCCAGTGTACTACAAAGACATCGAAAGTCTCCAGCAGTTGGATGAGTCAGGTGTGAAAATCCCCGTCAAATACAAGGGCTTCATGGATGACGTCTTCCCGGCCAACAGTAGCCCGCTGATGGACTCGCTGCGGGACAAGATGGTTTACAGCCCAACATCGGCATCCATGCTGGACCGTGTCGCGCACTCGAAGGCTATCTCTACCGTAACTCGTAAAACTACCCTTTCCCTCGATAACGCCATCTTCATGTCTACGAAGCAGCTGTTCATGGTTCCCGAGTGTCCCCGGTTGTACAATCTGGCGTACGTAATGCCACGGCATTCGGTGTTGATGGAGGTGATCAACCAGGTTCTTCTGCGGATGCTGAATGGGGGCCTGATCAATCATTGGATCGATGTGATGAACTTCAACGTGACGATCAAAAACTGGGAACAAATGAGGAATGCTGACGAGGAGAATTTCAAGATCCTAACCTTGATCGATATGCAGTTTCCGTTCTACTTGTTGGTCATTGGGTTGCTTTTGAGTGGTGCAGTTTTTGTGATTGAAAAGGTATACGAGAGGTTAGCTGCACAAACTTAACACGGGAACCGCTAATCATTTGATAGTGGCTGCTCATCAAATAATTCTGGCTAGTTTGTACAGGCAAAATATGGCTGTATAATCCAGTTTTTGCCTGTGTAACACTAATTATTTATTTCTGGTTATTTTGCTTAACGACGTGTTCTGGGTATCATCCAAACCATTTGTGGAATAGTTGCATAATTTGGGTTAACGTTCGTTTGTGGTATTTTGTTTATTAGGGGAACTAATCTGCAACTAAAATTGTTAGTTGAGCTGTACACTATGCTGCACTTTGGCATACAATTTTCGTAGCGTTCGAGTAGAAGGGGTAAACAGTAAAAATAAAATGTCACTTAGCATCAGTATTGATCCGTTATATAACTCTCATTTAATATTTCAGCTATGCCAGCCTTTTAGCCTTTTGCAGCAAAAAATAAATAAAATTGTTGAATATTATCTAATCGAATAGAAATGCAGCCAGTACAAGAAAGCATCCTAACGGCGCCGGTGGTGTAGTGGTAAGCGTGATTACCTCTCACCCCAGCAGGCCAGGGTTCAATCCCAGTCGGCGCCGCCGGGATGTTCTGAGGCATAACATCTCTGATCATGCCTTCCTTCGGATGGGAAGTAAAGCCGTTGGTCCCCGGTTCATGAGTTGATGGGTCGATAGGTAGGGTCCAGGTGTGGGAGCTGCCTTCCTGGCGTCGGTAGCATTGGTGCTCAGCACGGAAAACAAGATCGACGGAAAAAACAAACCAGAGGAAAAAACAAACCAAAGGAAAAAAAAAGAAAGCATCCTGGAAAATGATTAGATGACGCCTTTTAATTTTTCATGTCAATATTGATGTTTGCAGATAATAATAATAATAATAATAATAATAATAATAATAATAATAATAATAATAATAATAACTTTTACACTAACGATGTGAATCGGATTTTGATCTAAAAAAAATCTCTCACTATGAACCTGTAATTTCTAGCCTATCTGAACTATTTAATAGATGGAAACCATAACATGGGTTACGCTTCCTCTAAACGGAGCCTCCGCATCCTATCTGTCCTCAAATACCGAATGGCAATGGCCTGGAATCATACCTTTCAACCAGAACTTAAAACCACAGCCAATTCAGCACATCCATTGGTAGATTCACGAGAAACATCAACAGCAACATCAACAGAAACCCATCGTGGCAGGCAAGAGCACCAACAACAACAACAACTGCAGAGTGGCATCCCAATAGCATAATCATATTTCTGTATATCAGCATTCCCCTATCCAACCACGAGGCAACCATTCATTAGCGATAACGAGACGGATAGCAGCAGACGACAACACATGGATAGTACACAAGTAATAATTCGCTTACTTAGCGTCTTTCATTAAACCCTTTAGTAGATCCCACGTTTGTTATTTCTAGCATTCGAATAATAAATCATTCTTGTTCAGACCTTCAGTCGAGTAAGTCCATAATTTAATGTGTTTAAACGCCCCCCGAAGGCCCAAAGAAATAATTTATGAATATTTTTTTTCGAGACGTACACTCACTTGGCCTGGCTTTAGAATCATCCAGTGGGCAGTGCGCTCTACACTCCAAGTATCCTTTCTTTCTTGAGTGTTGATTAATTACAATGAAATATTGTGACAGAGCACGGACTTGAGCTTACTAGAGTATTAAGTAATCTAGGTCCTATTCAGGATTTTTTTTTTTCGAGAGTTGACCAACTTCAGTCTTAATAGGCTAGAATCTCGGTTGGGCTCTCCATGCGATACACAATACTTTCAGACGACTCGAGCTATGGTGCTCACTAGGTCACTGCAGCTTTTAGGCTCGTATTGTGATCAACTGTGTGTATTAGATTACGACCATAAGTCCGGAGAACCCCGAGATCTTGGCACAATCGCCCCTGCAAACAAACACGCCAACAACCGGTCTCCTGCGAACAAAAGAACAATCCTGCACACTTAATTCAGATCACTGAAGTCGGTAGGAATTTACCGGGTTTTTGAACAGCAGAACAACTCGGTAAAATTTTCAAATGACCGTTACACGTGAGAAATCCAGACAATTTATACATTTTATTTTTCATCAATAAATGGGGTAAAGTGAACAAATTCTGTACAAGTTCGGGATAATTTTTTTAATAATTGGATTTTTCACTGATTTTTAAACTTTTACCGAACAGTTCTGTAGTTCAAAATTTACCGAACGACGGAGGCCTGGATTAGTGTGTGCAAACAAACTATACCAAATCATAGAGAAAATATTCCTCTACCTGTTTGTGTTATTAGTTTTTCCAAACTGAGCCCCAATTCACGAGAAACCGGCAAATGACGTGCCCATCTACAAAAGCAACCACGCTCCAACCTCGAAGATCTCCGGAAATATGTGATAAATCATGTAAATGTAAATGGAATACAGTAATGTCCCGATTTTGTCAACCCAACCCAATGTTTTCCAATGTTCTACAAAATCTCTGCCCTTTTTCAGTAATCTTCTTGAACCTATTGCACCAAAGTATACTTTAAATATCCCTCTTAACGAATGACGAATGAGAAAAATTTAGATTTATGATTATGTGAAATTATTGAAAGAAAAAAATCTGAAGCGCGGAGGGGCTGACAAAATCGGGTCATTACTGTATTCAAAATAAATGAATTCATTCTTACCTTTTAATGGTTGTTTGATTATTAATTGCTATTATTACCTGCTTAGAGTTGGCTCCTTTAAAATACTGTGTAGAATTTACCTCATTATTCCTCAGTTCTATCGATTTGTGATAGAACCACGCTCAGCATATTATCCTGTAGTACGGCTTGAGCATGCACCATGCAAGTAAGTCATCTCTCGTCAAAATGATGGGATATGGGCTGATGGTGAAGGGATATAGAAAACGAATAAAAGAACAGAAAGAAAGGTATTAGTATTGGTTACATTAACCACTCCCCCCCCCCCCCCCCTACACACACACAACGAAAAAGAAACATAGATGCACAGACAAACATAAATAACACATTTAATATTTTTCTCCACAAAACATAGTCACTAAAACACTACCGCCGTCTGTTGAGTATCATGTGATGGATAGTACGCTGAACAGATGGCACTAGTGTGCAGACGTCAAACGCAAGGTAACCGACCGTGCGCGCCACAGGTGGCGGCACCACCAACCAAAAACACCCGAATTGACCGTCAAATGCGTATTCGATGAACAACCTGTCCAACCGAGTGTTATGTCTGTTTGTCTGTGATATATGGGTTATTAGGAAAGTACAACTACATTATAACTATTAGTGCAATGGATGAACGTTAATTTCGGGGTCATGTTAGTGTTAGAGTTTTGTTAGTATTAATTAGTTATTATCGTAAACAAATAGTTCGCTTTCAAAATAAACTTTCAGAACCAATTTCAGTCACCTCTGGGGTACCCCAGGGTTCTCATTTAGGCCCATTTTTTTATTTTGTCCATAAACGACATTTCCTACATACTTAAAAAAATAAAATTGCTTGTATATTAGACCTGTTCATTTTAAACGAAATGTTCGGAATGTAACGGGTCAACCGTGATTACTGTTCGTCATGTTAATTAGAACTTCTGTGCAAATTTTCAGCAAAATCGGTGATGATTTAGAGGTGCTTCAAGTTAATTTTATGTTTTTAAGGTAATTTACGGCTTACAATATTTGTATCTCGAGACTGAAACAACGAAAGCTGCTGTAACAACTTTCATAGCAAAGTTTAATGTGTTATGTATCAACTTTGTAACCAAAGGTTGACTATTCGAAGTGATTTTATTGAAGTTTGACTTAGTTTCATGCTCGAAGATATCTTAAAAAGTGAAGAATTTTAAAGTATTTGTTCTACGAATTTTCCACCCATATGATATAAAAATGTGTAGTGTACGACATAATGTTCCTCATATTGTTCTAGAAGTTTCGTTCCAACATAGTTTTCGTGTATATTTCATAGATTGAGAGATAAAAATCAGAAAAGAGGCCGTTTAGCTAAAATTCACAAGGCAACAGAACCAATAAAAGTCAATTAGATTGACAGAACATAGTTGCATTGCTTTTCAATGACGACCGATGACTGTTTCATTGATATATGATTTTTTCATAAATATGAATCCTCAGTAGACGTGTTTTTTTATCAAAGGCAAGTGTCACTCGAACCATAACAGCAATTTATAAAATAACGAACATTTGAATGGCTCGAGTGACACTTGCAATATACAATGTATATGCAGACGACATGAAGCTCTTTATGGAAATAAGTAATTCTAGCGATGCAGAAGAATTCCAGAATGAAATCAATATATTCCACACCTGGTGTAGTAAAAGTCTACTTCAACTGAACGTAAAAAAATGTACTGCAATAGCATTTAGCAGAAAAATTGAAACACCGCATATTGAAATATCATTAGGCGACCAAATAGTAGAAAAAAGCAAAATTGTAAGAGATCTAGGTGTAATCGTAGACTCCAAACTAACTTTTATAGAACATTATAATACTATCATTAGTAAAGCAAACAGAATGCTAGGCTTCATCAAAAGGTTCAGTCATAATTTCGAAGACCCATACACTATTAAGCTTTTATATACCACATATGTAAGGCCAATTCTGGAATACTGCCACCTAGTATGGAATCCATACATTTCCATACACGAAGAACGCATAGAATCTGTCCAAAAACAATTCCTTTTATATGCTTTACGTAAATTGAATTGGACTGCATTTCCATTACCATCTTATGAAGCGCGCTGCATGCTCATCAATATACAAACACTTAAGGAGCGCCGCCAATTTGCAATGCTTTTCTTCATCAACGACATTATTTCAATGCGCATAGATTCGGCTGAAATTCTCGCACAATTAAATTTTTACACACCTTGTCGATATCTTAGAACACGGAATTTATTTTCAGAAAAATCGTACAGAACAAACTATGCAAAAAATAGCCCAATCAATCGAATGATGCGCCTATATAATTTGCATTGCGGAACTATTGCCATCACTATGTCCAAGCAGCAAATAAAAACTAAGCTAAAACATAATAGAATTAATGCATAGTATGTAAGTAAACATTGTAATAATCATTGTATGTAGTCTACACTGGCTTGACGAAATGGAAATAAAAAAAAAAGACCCGTATTCAGCCCTGTCGGCCCCTCGAACAATAGTCACAGGCAGTTGTTGTTAGGACATGCGACACTGTCACTGCTACTATGTTAGAGGTATGACCCGTCAAGTTTCGAAGTGCAAAAAAACTGTTAGAACTTTCTTATAAATTAACTTTACACTCAAAGCAAACTATTTACCTTAGCATTACAAAAGCGAATTTAAAATTACTATTTTATTTTATGCTAATATTAAAATTATGATAAAACTACAATTTACGGCTCCGTGAAATTAACTCGCATGAACCTTTCAAATCAATAAACTGGAGAAAAACTACAATTTTATCAAATTGCAAAAAAAAAAAATCATAGCGACACTTGACAAATCATCATCAAGCCCCTCATCCTTGGACAGGGCTAGGTCCTATTTAGGATTATATCTGAAAAATCCAAATCTGGCCAACGCCCACCGACGATTGTTTGTTAAACCTATACCCATACACAGGAGACATCGGAAACCCGAATCACAGCTCCAATGACTGGAATTCCGTTGAAAATGCATCTGGAAATATCCTTATTTAGTTCGTCCATAAAACCCTGCACTCGCGAACTTCTCTAGAAAAACGTTATCAAGTGGCAGAGCACCTCCGGCCAAAAATCGAAAAAAACGCAACGAAAAAACATAGACGAACAGAACAATGTGACAACCGGAAAATGTTCGCGTCCTTTTAGAAGCAGGGCACACTTTGATCCGTAGAAATTGAGTGATTATCGCATCGAAACTGTACGATAGGGTAAATGACGGCTTTAGCAAAACCTTAAGGCCCAAGCGCAATGACGGCTGAAGCGGAACGGCAACGGCAGCGGAAAAACCCGATCTGAGTAAGCCTACTTGTCGGATTGAAAACTAGTTGGAATCAAATCGACTTCGGTTAGGCATCTTGATGTCATTAGTGACAACTGTCAAACTTTCCGTTTCCGTTCCGCTTCCGCCCACATTGCGTTTGGGCCTTTATTCTATTATTGTCAGGGGGTTAACAACGATGGTTATTAATCCGGTTAACATTTTCGAAGGTGGCCAAGAACGCGATTATCCGTTTCAAAAGGGATTAAAACATCTATGCAGAAGAAGCCTTGCGAGAACTGCATCCCATCCCCAAGGTATACTGGCTGTACGTCATGCTACTGTACTGACTGTGATTTGCCACTGACATACGGTTTCGAAAACGAAGAGGAACCTTTATTGGAACCGAAATATTCCATTGTTCGTCGTATTCGTGTCAAGAAATTGCAAGTTACTGGACCTGATACTTGGCTACCTTCACACGGATCCAGCAATCGGCTACAACCGCTTATCTTTTATCCCAAGCCGGAGGATCACTACATCTGGACACTTCAAACTGGTTCTACATAGCACGGGACTAGTTTATGTTGATCCCCATCAAGCGAACCGTCTTTGATTGGAACTAAAATGCAACAATAGCACGGATGCTTCCTGTGGATTCATTTGGACTAACTTGGTGAGATCGCATCTGATTTTATTTATTTAAACTAAATTTACATAATTCTATTAAATTTGACAAATTCTTAATGGAGTTTTCTCTACGCATCCCAATTTTGTGTCTTTGAAATCATCATTGTGTGTGTGTCATCCTCTATCCCTCACCTAGCGGGGGGCGTTGGACAAGTAGAACTAGGATAATTTGATCAAATCTTATGCTCCGTAATGGTGCCCTTTATGTTGTGAAGACTAGTTCTTCAAAAAGGGTAACTTTTGGGACAAGACAAGGTGTCCTCAACAAGTTGAGGGAACAGGATGCACTAGATGTCCACAACAGGTACAGCAAAACATAACATAGACGCCCTTATTCACACTAACTACTCAGGGGGTAGAAGGTCAAGAAGAGCCACCGCCGCCAGCTAAAGCTTGAACCGGGTACCTGGGACTCCCAAGATATACCCGCGGCAATGGTCAGCAGACGATGCCCTGTGCGTATTTAGTATGTTATATGTTTTATTTGGATTCACAAAATGTTTGAAGCCATGCGTCATCTAAACCATAATTTGCATCACCACAAATACACTTTTCAACAATCTTCAACTGGAACGTACTCACCAAGTCATTACACCCGGCATCGCATTCCCGATGCTTCCACGCATATTTTTCTCTAATCATTTTAATTTTTTAAAAAATAACCCCGTTAATATGCAAGAGTTGTCGTTCAGATTAAAAGGAGTCCACGGTATAATGTCATAACTGTAAGAAGCAGTGTTCCCCTGAAAGCAGTCGATTAACCATATTAGAAAGTAATCCGGATCGAAACCAATTAATAACTAATTACCTTGAAGTCTAATCTAAAAGTGGTCTTAAGCTGTATAAAATTACACATAAGAGCAGATAACAAACTTTTCCGTAAATCATCATCAAGTGCTAGGACGGTGAGAACAAAAAGTTCACTTTTTCCATTGTAATTCCCAAATTTTGAAGAATTATCAGGACTTGATTTGAAATCGATTGAGTTTGTGGAGCAAAATCGATATTTTGACCCACCCTCCAAGACAAACTCCCAGGATTTCTGTCACTAACCATTGCAATCATTCGACACCTGCTTTATGTTTTATTCAATCTCATCTAATCTGTGGAGCATAATCCTGACAACCGTTCAATGGTCTATTTTAGAAACCTGTAATAAAGCTGTTCGCAGACAAACACTACGGTACTCAGGATAAGCCCAATGACCAGCAAATAGAACGGAAGCTGCATATCGATCATCGTCAGGATTTTGAAGTTAGCCGCCTCAGAATTCCTTATCTGTTCCCAATCCTTAATCGACACGTTAAAGTTCATCACATCGATCCAATGGTTGATCAGTCCACCGTTCAACATCCACAACAGCATCACGTTCATTCGCTCCAGAAGCACCGAATGTCGCGGCACTACGTACCCCAGATTGTAAGACCGGGGACACTCGGGAATCATGAACAGCTGCTTCGTTGTTATGTAGACTGCGTTATCCAGAGAAAGGGTGGTTTTACGCGTCACCGTAGAGATAGTTCCCAACCGGGCCACTCGAGACAACATTGATTCCTTGACCAGCTGCAATGCCATTTTGTTTCGCAGCGAGTCCATCATCGGACTGTAGTTAGCCGGGAACACATCGTCCATGTATCCCTTGTATTTTACGGGGATTTTCACGCCGGATTCGTCCAGCCGTTGCAGGCTATCGATGTCCTTGTAATACACTGGATTCAGGAAAACGGAAGACAAGCCCGACTGGAACATCGACACGAAGATCAAACTAACCAT